AAATGCGTTCTCGAGACTGGGCTGCGCGCGGGAACCTCAATCCGGGAGCCGAGCCCTTCCCTCGCGCGCCCCAGGGACCCTCTCCTGGTTCCCCGTGGAGTCCCAAAGGCACCCCCCCTCCCCCGCAACGCCCAGCTCTGCCGCGGCTCCTGGCCTCCCACCCCACCCCCAGCCCTCCAACAGCTTCCCTCGCTCTCTGGGGCGGATAATTACCCTCCGCTCGCCTGTTCTCCCTTGTTTAAAGTTTGTTTTCTAAATGTCTTCTATTAGATTATGTTCGTTCATTCCCCCTCCAACCTTATCTCCTTCTGTCTCTTCTCTCCTTGCCCGTCACACTCGATTTAGGCACGAGTTTATCTGGCAAACAGTTTGCCGACTTTGTTTATTTACCGCGGGTTCTGGGGCTGTGAGCGCGCGCGCGCCAGTGTTAGTCTTTGTAATAGTTATCTCATTGTTGTTCTTCGTTAGTCTCAGCTCCCTCCTCCCCCTCGCTCTTCTTCGGCTGGGGGGATGGAGAGAAGAAAGGGGGAGTCTTGTCAGCCCAGTGTGGGCTCGCCCCCTCGCCAGGAGCCCCCTCCGCCGGGATAGTCCCCCCGGCACACCCCCTCCCCGCTCACCCCATCCCCCCGCCACCCGAGCGCAGCGGAGCCCTGGCCCCCTCCCTCCTCCCTGTGGTCTCACCGAATATCCACCAGCGAGCGCTGCCTAAAGCCGGGGAATTGCCTGACACCCTCCCATCTTCCTCCGAGCCCCCATTATGCGAAGCTGATCCCACTCTGAACAGCCTCAAATCCCGCCTGGACTCCGTTTGATTAGATTGCCAACCCGGGGTAATCCTTTGATTTGGTAGAGTGTCAATTACCTTTCTCTAAACACACATTTACAGAGGAGGGAACTTGTTGGCTTAAATCAATGCAGATTGTTTCTTGATAAATGGACTATCTTCGTCCCCTCCCTCGCTCCCACTTCCAAGGCCCCTCTCCCTCTGCGCCCCCTCCTCTTCCCTTTCGCGTTCTAGCCTATCCGGTAAACAATGCCCCTTCCAGGTGTGAAGCCGAAAAAAAAAAAAGAACCCGGAGTGGGCTGAGTGGAGCCTGCCCCCCTTCCCCTATTCATTCGCTCCCCCGGAGCCTAATTAAATTTGGCAGGTCCTTGTACACACAATCAAAACAGCTTCCTCCAGTGTAGCAAACGACCGAAAACCGCATTAGCAGCTATCGCTGCTGCCAAATTAAATTGTTTCCCACCTCCTTTTACAAGTGTCTAAAACCGACACTTCGGGCTCTCCCCTCCTTTCCGATCCTCTCCGTCATTTCCCGCTCCACACCTGTAAGTTTGCTGCTTTAAAAATAAAAGGAAAAATGCAAAGAAATACAAATCTGCCTCACACACACACCCTCCTGGGGCCCCCACTTCACAAGGTCTTTTATACCCCAGAAGTCAGCAAATTCTCCAATGGACTTTGACACCAGCACTTTCCTCCCTAGAGGAAAATGCACAGTCTTCTTCCTCTTTTTAATCTCGTGACTTTTTTCCTTATTTCATATTAATTGTGACCCCACTGGGTTTTCTACTCTAGAGACTAAAGTGGAGCCCCATATCTGATCTGGTCAGTTTCAGCCTAAGTTGCGCATTGTCAGATTCATGAAGCTTTGGTGTTCTTATTGTTTATTACTCTTGTATTTGCTTTTACTATTATTGCCTATTTCTTCACACTCCCTCCCACAGAGGAATGGTTTGACTCTGCAAACCCTGATCAAATTTCCCACAAGAGTCTCCCTGGGCTCAGGTTGGGAAGATCTTTTTTTTTTTTTTTTTTTCCTCTTCTCAAATTCTTTCCCTGTTGGGTCTGTGGCCTGTCTCTCCTCTGATCCTCGGAGAAGGACTGAGGAGGAGAGAGTCCAAGTGGATGAGGGCAAGGAACTGTCCATCTCCCTCTCAAGGTGAGTACAGCATGGCTGGAGCCCTATCCACAGAGGTCTGAGAATTCTCACAACCAACAATCCTAATAACTCAGTCTTAACAAGGATAAGAGAAAAAAAAAAAAAACATATGAACAGCCTCATGAATATCAGCCCAAGGGGAGCAGGAGTGAGCTGTACAGAGATGAAAGTGCACAGAAATAAAAGCTCAATTTAATCTGCTTTAAAACCCTTCAACTTAACGTTTGTGCTTCAAACTCTGAGAGTGAGGACTGATTGCGGATAAATAGTTTCTTACCATGCCTGCAAGCTATTACACCCCTCTCCAACACAGTTTCCTATTCAGCAGTCCCAGTTTTCATTACCAGCTCTAATAAGTCTTAACATTATTAAATGCCAGCGGACGATAGGAAAAAACGGACTCAGGGAGGGATCTCTCTTTAGCACTTAAAGAGGAGAGCTCTTAAACCCCTTCTCCGGCGGCTCCCCACCACGAGAGGGGCAACCCCCAGAGGAAGCATTTGTCAAGAGCAAGAAGCCAAAACAAAGTCCGTGGGTGCGTGCCCCTCCCCCTGCTCTGCCTATGGGGCATCTCTGCCTTTCCCCACCCGGCCGACTTGGGTGGAGGTTGGGAGGTCTTTTCGCCTTTAACTTGACCATGAAACTGATGTCTGGGGCCTGGGAGAGAGAGGAGAGGTTCCAATTGGGCGGTTTACTGAGATGCCCACCGATGGCTAGCCCAGGGACTCAAATCGGGAGCTGATAGGATTTGTCCACAGATGGATAGACAGCCCTCTTTAAGCCCCACTGTCACTCTGCCCATTAACACCCATCTACAATCACACTGCACACCCACACAGAATTCCACTTGCACAGAATACAACCCATGGCACTTGGATTCAAAGGCCCGTGGGCAAATGTCACACGGAGAGACACATGTGCTTACACGGCCATCCAGGTCACAGTCACAATGCCCAACGTGTCACTCAAAAACTGTGGGGCTTTCTGCACACGAGGCCTACCACTTTCCTTCCATTTCTGCAGCTCCTCTCCAGACTCGGCGCTTCTGCTCTCGGCCTCCAGGTCTGGAAGAGCCAGGCTCCTCATTAAACCCTTGGAGACCTGGAGCTTCCTGCTTCTGCTGCGGGGAAAACCTCTCTCCAGCGAAGTCGCCTGTTAGCTGGTTTTAAGCCCAGACCAGCCTCCGAAGCCCCCGAACTCCCTTGAGAAAGGGATCCCCAAACCACATAATCTTTCCATCCTCTTCTTTTCCTTCTTTCTCGAAGGAAATTTGTTTATTGTGCTTCCTCATACACTGGACATACCCCCACCACACACACACACACACACACACACACACACACACACCCTAAGTCTCTCCAAATAAAACCAAACCTCCTTCCACTTCTCCGGGGTGTCTCTCAGAAGCAGTGTCTGCTGTGCAGTATTTGGCTGGGAAAGATTATTCAAGTTCTATGTCCCCCACCCCATAAAAAAGTTCAACTAAGTCCTTTTCCAACACGAACTGAAATCAGGTCCCCTCCACAGGGTGCCAGGGCCCTGGGCTGCCTCAGTGGAGCCAGGGGCTGCTTGGCTGTGCAGGGCTGCCTCCCTCTGCAGACACGAGGCCCCTCGGCAGGCCCGGCACAGCGGGGTGCCGGGCACAGCTCTGCTCCCTTTCTTCCCTCATCCTTTTGTCCCTGGCGGGACTGGGCTCCACTTGGGGCCCTGAATGTCAATAGCCCGCCCCCTCCCCAGCTCTAGGCTGCTCTCACATGGGGCTGCCCCTGCCCCCCCTCCAGCTTTCCCCCTCCGACTAGACTTGCGGGGGCTGGGCTTCACTGGGAGTTGTCTTGGAAAGCGGGCTTTGTCTGTGAAGTTCATCTTCAAGGTTGGGAGAGATGACTGAAAACTGGAGAAACCTGGGCTAGGAGTTCACGGGAGGCAAGGAGAGGGGTGCCTCAAGAAACTTCTGGAAGGAAACTCCAACAAAACTTGCTCTTTACAAGTTTCCAGGTTCGGGGCACTCCCCCACTTTTTTCTAAGCCTCTGTGCTGCAGGTTCCCACGGCCACTGTCTGTCCTGCCTGCCTGCTGCCTCCCTGCGTGTGTTGGTGGCTCGCTTCTTTTCCCCTTTTCTGTGACTCAGGCTCTTGCATTTCTATTTCACCTGACGTCTTCACTTCACGCACACTAACCAAGTCTCCAAGAGAACTGCGGAAAGGGGGTAACCAGGAAGGACTTTCCCTTCTCTGGAAACTTCCCCAGTCAATAAACAAAAGCACGATCCCCTTTCCCGGGCGTGCAGGCGCTTGAAAGATAAATGCCTTCCCAGTTCATCTCAAGAAAAAGCAGGGCTCTGGGCTGCGACTCCAGCCCGCGTGGCAGCCAGTGGGCAGAGGGAGTGCGGAGCCCGAATCTCTCTCCCAGATTGGGATCCTCCGACTCTGGGCATCTGGGAACCTGGCCTCACCTCCTGGCCCGGAGGGAGGAAAGCACCCGGATAGTGCAACCGTCTGTCCCTCATTCGGCACTGCCTCGGCTCCGGCCCTGGCAACCTGGGACTGAGAGTGAAGCGGCGGCCCACGCGGCCCTCGCTAATTTTTATTGATTGCAGCGGTCAGTCAACTGTCAGGCGGGGTTTCAAGGGACCGTTTAGAGATCGTGTGCGGGTCTGGTTAACAAATTCATTTAGGAGCCTCCGGCCGGCTCCTCCTTCCTCGCCGCCCGCCCCCTTGCCCAAGTTTCCCATAAATAATAGATCAACACAGGGTCTAGCAGCCAAAACGCCAGCCCCTGAGGACGCACGCCCCGGAGTCCTCGCTGGGTCTGCGCGCAGGGGCTCTGCGCAGTCAGCGGCGCGCCGAGCACTAACCTCTCCCGGGACGCGGAGGCCGTCTGCGCCCCGCCCGGCCCGGGGGCGCACCGAGGGGGCGCTCTCCGTGAACCCTGAGAGGCTCCGGCTGCCCCGGGGGCTGCGCGTTCTCCCCCTAAAGTTCTGTCTGCCAGTCTGGGGCGGCGGGAGTGAACCACTGGCCTGCACGAGAGCGTCGCGGCCCCGGGGCGGCTGGCTCCCTACCTTTGTCGCCCAGGATGCCGTCGATGCTGTGCTTGGCTTTCTTCTCGCCGTCGTCCTCCTTCTTGTCCGCTTCGTCGTCCTCCTCTTTCTTCCCGAACTTGATTCTGAGCACGCGGCTAATCGAACTCACTAAACCTCAGAAATTCAAAGGCAAAAGAGCAAGTATAAGTTGTTGGAACCGGGAGCACGGGTGGCCTGGGCCCCCGGGAGAAAGTCAGGAAGCCCCTTCCTCCCCTACACACGGCAAGGGGACTCACACCCATTGCCCCCCCCCCATATTTAAGATTTACACCTATTCTGAGGCACAAGTACAGTCCCCCACGCAGGGAAGCTCTCACCGCGGGCACTCCCAATGGTGGTGAGGCTGTGGCAGAGCACCACCCGTGCATTCCTACACACATCCTAGCACACACTTGTGCCTTACACTATCGCATACCCTCATGCACGCACACCCACTTCCCCAGGACCTCCCTGGAGGCCCTCCAGGCCCTGAGGCGGCTGGCCATCCCCACAGCCAGGAGTGCAGCCCAGTCCTGCATGCCTGAATGCCCATGGCGCGCGCACACACACAGGCACCCCAGACCCCTCTCCCTCTCACGGCAGCGCGGTTCAGGGCCTCCACATTCGGGACCCACTGGGAGCTGGTGGCAGCAGCTGAGCAGAAATGATGGCTTGGAGAAGGGGGCAGGGACACCCCAGAGATCACCCTTCCTAGGACAGACCCATCTCTCTAGGTCACTTCTCCGAGGAAGCTCCAAGGGAGCTTCTCCTGTCACCCAACCTCACAGGACAACTTTTTGTCCCTTCCTTCCTTCCTTCCTTCCTTCCTTCCTTCCTTCCTTCCTTCCTTCCTTCCTTCCTTCCTTCCTCCCTCCCTCCCTTCCTTCCCCTCCTTCTCTCCATCTCTTCTTCTTTCCTAACTTTCTCTCTTTTCATTCCCTCTTCCCTCCTTCCGTCTTCCTTTCGGTTTTGATTCTTCCCTGTGCCCTCACTCCCCTCGCTCTTGCTCCCTTTTCCTCCCAACTTTTCTCAAGTTGCCTGGCATCCATCACGTTCCCTCCTCTCCACCTCTGGCCCCACACAGCCAGAGCCCCGGCCAGACCTGGGCAGGCTCCGCGGCTCAGCTGCCTTCTCACCTGAGGGCACGGTGCTCCGATCACAGTGCCCGTCCTTCAGCAGCCGGTCTCGGATCTCCCAACTGAACATGCCCGGGTTTTCCCTCTTGTACTCCTCGATCCTTTTCTCCACATCGGGAGTCGCCACCTGCTTCAGAGGTGGAGGTGGGAGAGCAGGAGTGGAAAGATGGGGTGGGGGGAGGGAGATACTTTTAATATCAACCTCCCGAGAGCCCCAGGCCAGGCTGGTGGCTCTGGTCACCATGCCCCGCTTCTGAGATTGGCTTTATCCTTTCAAGAAACCTGTTCCTGGCTCCCAGGAAGGCAGCTGGGGTGGGGAGGATAAGGTAGTGGTAGGTAATCAAACGGAAACCTAATTTGCACCCCCAGGACCTCCCCTCTACTATTTCAGGCCAGACTGAGGGAAGACTTTGGGATGGTGATAGGGGATGGGAGCAGATGTAGGGACAGCCCAGGAATGACTCACTAGCCTCAAAGTCTTGGGCAACCTAGACCTCAGTTATCCCCATCCCTGAGAAATTCAGATAATGGGGGGGTACCTGGGGATGGGGATGCTCTCCCACTGTACTTTCCACTGGAAGCACACAGACCCCCGGTGCTACTGGGTGACACAGGATAGTGAGAGGGGCTACAACAGGATCCCCCAACCATGGGAAGGCCGGCTGCCAGCGCTGCGGCAAAGACACTCACTCTGGGCTTGCTGCCGCCGATGGCCCCAGGCCGGATGGACCCCGTCTCCTGGTAGCGACAGAGAATCTTGGAGACGCAGCCGTGAGAGACACGCAGCTGGCGGGAGATGACACAGGGCCGAATGCCATGGTGGGCCATCTCCACTATCTTGTGGCGGATGTGGTTAGGCAGGGGTCGGCCGTTGATGAAGACCCCACCAAGCTGATTGACCCGGCCTTGGCCAAGCGGGGTGGACACTGGAGGAGGGAGGGGAGATGAGGAAAGAGAGAGGCACAGGGTGACGATGGGGAGGAGACACGGAGCGCACCCCTGGACTCCGGTGTTGTTTGAGCCCCAAGACCCCAGACAGTGGATCTCCGAGTTCCCCACATTTGGGGCTGTGGTAGTTTAGAGGTCAGGAAAAAACCGTCATGAAGCCGAGAGAGAGGGCCCTCCAGGGGTGGGGAGGGGTCACAATTGGCTGCAAGAGTGCCCCCAGATGCTGCGTGTCCCCAGTCCTGCCACACTAGGGAGGGAGGATGAGGACACACCTGGGGGAACTGAATGCCTCTGAGAAGAGGAGGGAGAGACAGAGGCGAGAGGGCAGAGCCACAAGGCTGGTGGAGTCCGGAGACTCTGGGACCAATGGCTCTCTGTCCCCCAGGATGTAGCTTGAGCTGCGGACTGTCCACCTCTGGTGAGACGTGGCCCATCTGGTCAGTTCCATGCTCTAAGTGGTCACGACTGATCCATCGTACTGGGGGCCAGACGGGGCTGGCTGATAGCTAGTATTTACAGCCCTGGGTTGGGCAGCAGAACTGTCCTACCATAAATGAACAGCCGAGGGACCTCGACATAATGCCATCGGCTGCTGCCTCCAGGGGCACCTGGCTGTCCCTTGAGAGACCCCCTTGCTGCCAACGCCTCTCAAAATTCTAATTTCGTTTTGGGATGATTTCGGGACACGCTCCGTTGTCGGCAAGCTCCTAGATCAAATACCCGTGTGGCGTCAAAAATGTATGAACCGTCCCTGCAGGCTCAGAGAGGCCGGTACGTGCAGTGGGCCAGAGTCCCTGGGTGTGGGTGACTCTGGGAACTAGGAAGACAGGCACTCTTGGTGTGTGCTGGGGAAGAGAGAGTGTCTCGGAAGCCTTACTACAAAGTCTACACAATTTCCTCACAGAAGATTGGGGGACACCCGGTGCACTAATCCAGCCTCAATCCCCCCAATTTGGGGACTCGGCGGCTGCGGAGATCCGGCAGATTAGAATGATTTCACAGCCGCCCGAGTGGAGGGAGCTGACAGTATAATTGGAAAGGAGGAGGCGAGAAGAGGCTCCGGCGGCTGAGCTGTTCCTAGCGCCTCCTCCCTCGCTCTCCCAGTCCCCCCACCTCTGTAAAAGTAGGTGTCTGAAGCCACCCTCAGATTTAATCAGAAATCGTGCGTCGCCAAGTCAGAGTCACTGGGTCTCCGTGGCGGGATATGCCATTAGCGCTCGAGAGCTCTCGAGCTCCCAACTTTATATTCAAGAGCCTCTTTAGCGACCGGCGCTCGGCTCTCCTCAGTATTCTGCGTCATGTTGGGCAAATATTGTTCTAATCCGCTGCGCGTCCTCGGCCGCCTGTTTTACTTGCATTCGCTACGGGAGAGAGCTGCGGCAAATCCCCGGGCTTGGGCGCTCTCCCGCCTGCGTGGCTGCTCGCGCGCACTTGATCACGGAGCCACTCTCTGCGCTTCTGTCCAATTCAGGGACCCGCGCCGTCTCGTTGCCGGAGGGACCCCCCCTCCCCAGATCGCAGGCTGCCAGCTAGCCCACCCCCGCCCTGCCTGCTCTCCCATTCCTCGCGCACAAGTGGCTCACACAATTCCAAGAAGAGTAATTTAAAAAATAAAAGTCGCACCTATCTCTAACCACTTCTCTATGACGCCCTGGTCTACCTAACCCCAGAAGCCTAACGATCCCTCAGTTGACAGGCTGAAGGCCTTCCATTAGCTTAAAAATAAATCAAAACAAAAACGCAGAAAAAGCTCTCAGCGGTGCGCTCCCAGCCCTCTCTCCAGCCGGGACCCGTTCACCGCCTGTCCTCTCTGCTCACCCCGGGGGGCTGGATATTTAGGGAAGACACATCACAAAACTAACACTTTCCCCTTGTCTGGGCACTGCGTTGCCCTCTCGCCGTCTTGACGTTCTCTCCCGGGAGATTTCCAGAGTTCGGAAGGCCGAGTGAAAAGTTTGGGGGAAAAAATTCGTTACTATCTATTATTTCAAATTAGTTTCTTTCCAGACCCCAGAGTAAGAGTTTCTGAGTGTTGCTTTAGAAGAAGCGGATAGCCTTCCGAGTTTAGCCATATAAAATATCACACATTGTTGGTATTTCGAAATAAAAGGGATTAGAAAACCCTCCCGGGAGGAAAGAGAACAATTCAAAACAAAGAGTGGAAAGTCCGTAGCCGGCGAACGCAGAGAGCTGAGAAAGTATCAGGGGAAAAGTATCTGAAAATAGTGGAAAGAGCTGAAATTCACTAGGAGCCGAAACCTACCCGGAGTTCAGCCTTGCGAGTAAAGGCCAGAGCCCTCGACCCGTGCAGCTGAGGCCGCTGCTCCGTGAAATCCACGCCGAAACCGACAAGTGTCGGTCCCAGAAACTTCCTGGGTCCGGCGCCCGGACTTGGACCCAGAAGAGAAGGGGACCCCCCTGCTGCCGCCACCAGCCCCTGGAGATCGCCGCCTCTCCCAGGACCTCGAGTTCCCCGAGGAGTGGAGGCGAGGCCACCGGGCGCTCTTACCTTCCAGAGGGAAGCCGGTGCGCGGATAGTTCTGCCCGGGCGCCGGCCGCATCATCCTCGGTACCGTGCCGGGAAGGGCCGCCATTCTTGCGCACGCCGGGGACGAATCCAGAGTCGGCAAAATCGCTTTCCTCTGCTCCCTTTACCCCTGCTGCGATCTCTTTCTTTCCTTCCTCTTTTTTTTCACCCTCTTCCCCACCACTCCACACACACTCCCTACCCCACCCCCCCACCCCCGGCTGCAGTCAAATGCGTCCAGAAGCTGGGGAGGGGGGCGAGGTGGGGGCGGAGGTTGGGGGGAGGGAAGGTGGCGACCAGGAAGTTCAAACAAACAAACGCGCCAACCCCAAGTCCGCCTCTGCCCGCTCCGCTCGGCCAGAAGTTGTGCGGGCGGATGCGCCGGGCAGACCCCGGAGACGAGGCCGGGCCGCGGAGCGGGGCTGGGGGACGCGGCCGGAGTCAGGGCCCCCCGCCTCGGACTGGCGAGCGACGCGCAGGCTCTAGCGCTCCGGCCAAAGTTTCTGAGCCGAGAGGCTGCCGAGTGGATTTCTTTTCCGTATTTATTTATATATTTATTCCCTCGCTCTCGCTCCCCTCCTCCCCCTGCTCTCCGCACCGCTCTCCACGCCTTCTTTCTCCAGGCCACACTCGCTACGCCCTGACACACAAGCTTTCACACTCCCGCCCCCCAGGAGGCTTGGGGAGGGCAGAAGGTGCCTCTCGGGTTTCGGGGCTCGAGGGGGGCGACAGGGGGTGACGGGGTTGGGAAGAGAAGAGGGAAAGCGAGGGGGCGAGTGATCCACTGGCTAAGTTGTGCAAAAGTGCTCCACAGAGTCCGGAGGAGGAGGAGGAGAGGAGGCAGCGAACGAGATCTGATAGGTTCGGACCTTTCTTTTATTCATGAGGAGGGAAGGGGGCCAGAGCGGAAGGGAGCTGAGGACCAATAACGAAAGAAATCGCCAACGAATATTTTTTTCTCTTTTCTAATCCTCAGCTCGACCTCGTTTTTGGGGGAGAATTTGAACTGCTCGTTAAAACAGAGGGAGCAGAGGCCGACGGGTTGGGGGAGGGGGAGAAGAGGAGGGGGCCAACTTTATCCAAGTGTCTTCCTTTGACGAATGGGGCCGATCCGCGGAGTCCCCGGCCCCCGGGTCGCCCACGGCCCCTCTCGGCGTCCCGGCTGCATGGGAATGTCTGTCTCCGGTTGGCGGCTCTTCTGGATTCTCGCCTTTTCTCTGGCCTCTCAGGGTCAGAGTCCGCTGTCTTTCACGTCTTCTCCCTCATCTCACACACACGCTCTGGAATTGTCGCCAGTGGGGCCCACGGAGAAACCGCCTAGGGTGACATCAAGGGAGGAGTTGGTGACCTTCTCTGTGAAACAGGGTCTGAGCCCTGGTTCTTGCCCGGCACCCCCAGCACTGCGAAGGCCAGAGTGACCCGGTGGAGTCTGATGCTTAGAAAACTGCGTCTGCCAGGGCCAGGGACCGTCCCTTCCTCCCCTCCTGGCTCGCCACCCCCGCCCATCTCCAGCCGCGTGTAAACCCCGTCCTCCTCTTCAGGCCCCCAGCCCACAACCCAGAACCCGTTTCCAGCAGGTAGTTGGGGCCTTGAGGCTGACCAGCAAGTGAGTGCCCAGGATCTGGGGGTCCAGAGGGGTGGTTTGTGGGAGGGAGGGGGCGGGTCAGTACTTGGTACCACCCGGAGTTCATCAATGCTGAACCTCTCCGCTGGTGGATTTGGGAGGGGTTAAACAGTCAGGGGTAGGGGTGATCAGAGGTCTAGAAATTCTGCACTTTCCGGGCTCTCCTCGGCCAGCGGGAGTGACCAGACGCCCCTGCCTCGGACACTGAGTCCTGGGGGCGAACCGCCCTCCCAGCGGGGCAGGTCGCCACGACTGCCGGCCTTTTGTCTCCCCCGGGAAAGAGCGTCTCCGGCCCAGTGCTGGAGGCAAAATACAATAAAATAAACCCAGCCCTCCAACTGGCCCCCACCCCCCCAGCCCGCCCCCAGCCCGCCCTCTCCCTGTGCTGGGGTCAGCCTCGTCTTGGCCTGGGGGGCTCTCCTCAGGCTGGCCCCAGTGTGCCCCCTCCCCTCCCCTTTTCCTCACCTGTGACCTTTGCCCCTCTCAGCATGTGTCTGGCCCCCTCCTCCCCTCTCTCCCAGCAGAGGGGCTCCTCAGGCTCTTGGGGGGGGAGGCCCTCTGGGAATGGGGGCCTACCGAAAAGCTGTTAAACCCACACCCTCCAGTGGCTCCAGGACTGAGGAAGGGGGACAAGTAGCCTTAGAATTGGAAAAGTGGACTCCAGGGTGCCAGGCTGCCTGAGTTACAGGTGCCCTCCAAGTGTTCGGGGCCCCTTTCCTCCGTGGAGGTGCCGCCCCGCTATATCCACTGCCCCCAAGAGAGGTTGGGAGGTGAAGTTTTAAGCCATAGTGTGTGTGTCTGGGGAAGATGAGTTAGACTTGAGTCCCTTTATGTCTGGTCTCGCTGGAGGGCCTCGCCTGCCTTGACCTCCAGAGGTGGCTAGATATTTTATACACATAGACATACATATATATGTATATGATATACACATGTATATTATACATATTGCACATTCATTCATTCATCTAATCACCCTCCTGGCTTGGAGGTATTTAAGGCACCTCTTCTGTGTATTTGTGGGTGGAAGGGCCAGTGTGTCTGAGTTTATGCAGGGTCTGTGCGTGTCTAGGTGAAGGTGGGTTTGTGGGTAGGTCTGCTGTAGGCTTTTGGGCCGGGCTGAGTAAGTGTGTGTTTATAAGTCAGGGTCCCTGTCTGTCTTTATGGTTTGGAGTCGCTTCCATGTTGCCTTAGCATAGCTCTAAGCACTGGTCAAGAAGGGGTGAGGGTGTGATCTGGTCATTTCCCGGGCAAGAAAAGACCTCCAGAGCGCGCTCGGCGCGGACGCTGGAAGCCTCCAACCCTCCTCGTGGACTTTGCAGCTGGCGCCGGCACGTCCCGCGAGCGGGGTGGGGAGAGCGCACAGCCAGACTCCTCGGTTCAGGGCCCAGTGCCCAGATGGTTGCCTCTGGGGACATTGAAACCCCTGACGTCCTGCGCCTGGGCCACCTAGCCCTCGGCGTGATCCCCACTCTCCCTGGCAGAAGACTCAGCGCGGCGGGTCCAGTCACAAGGGAGGCCCCCGAGCAGGCTCCCCAAGACCCTGCACGCTGGCAGTGCCAACCCTGCGTTTTCGCAGCTTGGGGATTTCGTGGGCTCCCGCTGGCAGGCAGAGGGGGAGGGAGGGAGGTGTCTGTCGGAATGAGCGTGGCCGTTCTCGCCTGTTGGAGACCAATTTCACAAATGATTTTTGCAACAATTAAGAAGTGTGGCGGGGTGAAATGGCGATTTCACATCCAGCAGCGGAAAGGGGGGTTCACCTGGGAACTGGGGCGGCTGCAGCTGGGGGTGGGGGGAATCTCCCCCCCTCGTCTCAGTTCCCCTTGCTAACCTCCTTGCCCCAGTTCACTCCCCATGCAGACATTAATCAACTCCTGAGACCTCCGAAGGCTGCTGTAGCTCTGAGGGTCTCAGCGCTGCATTGTGTGTGGGGGGCTGGACTTGGCCTGGAAAGTTTCCCCTTCAGCCCCTCGCCCTAATCTCTCTCTGCCTCTGTCTGCCTGTCTCTCTTTCTCACACGCACACTTTTTTTGTCTCTGTCCGTCCCCCCACAGTCTGTCTCATGGTTTCTGTCTCTTTTTGTCCCTCTCTCCTTTCCTCCTTGCCTTTCTGACTTCTCCCAGCGGTTTTCCCCTCTTACTCCCATCATCTTGTCCACCGCCTCCCCCATCTCCATGGTTTCCCGAGGTATGCACGGGCCTCCGTCGCTCTCTGGGCTGTAACTCAGACCCGAATTCCTGGGAGGGCCCTTTGGTCCAGATGGGGTTGGGCAAAGAAGGGCTCCTGCTCTGCTCTGCGCCTCCTCGGGCTGTCTCCAAAGGGGCATCTCCAGGCACAGCCCAGCCTGATTCCAGCACCCCCTCCAGCAGGAATCGCTCCCATTCTAGTGCTCTCCGGCTTGGACAACGGTCCCCCGCCTCCACCTCTCCCTGTCTGGTCTGAGATCTCCTTCCACCTCCTTTTTAAAGGCAACAACAATGCTTATAGGAATCCTTCCTCTCAAGCTCCCAAATTGAACCCTCCAAAGCCAAATAAAATGGGAAAGACAGACGTAGGCCCAAGGATCAAGACTTCAGCTGGGGAAGTTGACTAAACTGTGAACTGATGGGAAGTGCCAGACTGACTTAGGGCCGCAACTGGGGCTCCATTCCCTGCCCTCAAATGGCCAGAGGTCCCTTCCCCCAGCCCAAGGGAGAGGACACACTTTTTATTTCAGATCCCTGTGCGATGAGCACTTTTTGAAAGCGATTACCCAATAAATCTTCCTTTAAAGGGTGATAAATCCACCTTGAAAACCAGAGGTTTTGATTCTGGTGGGGCCTTTTGCATTTTCAGAGGCTCCGGCCAAAGACATCGACAAATGGAATTATTCAGTCTTCAAATGTTTGATAATGAGAGAGGAAGGGGTGGGTGTGGGGTTGGGGAGAGAAATGGAATATCCGTGAACAAAGAACCCTCTGGAGGCTCACTCCAGGTTCCGGATGCCGGAATTCCTCAGCACCTCGTTTGAAGAGGCACCCTTGAAAAAGAACACCTTCTCCCCACTCCTCCAATCCTTTAGTATTACTTTTTCTCTTAAGAAGTAGCACTCTTCTAAGAGTGACCTTGAAATATCTGCTCAAACCTGAACAGAAGGAGAGGGAAACTGGGATGTTTTCTTGCTTGACGTTTTTATTTTCCCCAGAAAAGTAAAATAGTATGTGTTGGATTCTAGGTCTCAAGGTAGATAGCAATTATAATCAGGTTTCCCCAGGCCTACTGCTAAATAAGATCTCAGCGAGCCTCCTCTCCCTCCTCTCCCTCCTCCTCCTCCTCCTCCTCCTC